TAGCAGACGGGGCAGTTACTGGTATTTGGTTTTGGGGTGGGGGGAGGAATAAAAGGGCCCGGTTTGGGGCGTTGGGGGAATTAAGCTGCAGCCATCACTCCGTGCTCCGTAACAGTTGGGTTGGAAAGAAAGAGCCCACACCAAATCATGACTGTCCACAGTCACCTCGCTCCCGTCTGTCACCTCCTCTCCAACAGGATGAGAGTGGCACAAGAACTACTTCTTCTTCTGGAAGTCACTTGAGGTCACTTCTGTCTGGTTTGTCTCGGAGCCCTCCTGCTCTTTTACCACCTAACGGCACACAGAAGCATCTCCTTTCCACAAAGGACCTCCAAAAATCTGCTCTTCCAAGCTGGCTGAGATCAATTTCCATGATGCCTCAAGGGAAGGAAGCTGATGGACCATTTAGGTACTAGAAAATACATAAGTTAAAGAAATAATTAAGCCCTTTTCCCGTTAAGCCCATCAGCCAAACTACACCAGACCTGTGGAGAGGACCCCTCTCCTCTTCCCATCGCAGCCCGTTAAATGGCTTCCAGTTGATGAGATCACATTTCTGTCTCATTCCTCCCGCAATTAATTCTGCAGGAGGCAAAGATCAATGCTGTTACAATTCATTTACTTATCTGGTTTTATCCAGTCAGAAGGCTCTGGTCAACAGCCACTGGTGACCACCCAGTCCCGGCCAGTCCCTAACGAGGGTCCCAGCAGCTTCGCTCCGGGGGATGAGCTGGTGCTGCCACAGCAGGGCTCACCTCAAAAGGCACAAATCCCCACCGTGTGTAAGGCCAGAGCTGCAGAAATCAGAGCCCCAAGGAGGTTCAAAACCCCTTTAGCCACACCAAGAAAATAAAAGCACAATTAGGGGGGAATTAACACATCCGCCTCAAGACGAGGGGAAATGCATCAATTTGCTGATGCATCAATTAATGAATCACGCAGGAAGAAGAGACAGATTACAAAGAAAAAAGTTTCTGTTTATACATCTGCCTTGACAGCCAGCAGTTACTGCGAAAATAAAATACACTGCAAAGCAGAGAGCAGCCTAACTGCTGAAGTGTCCCTCGGTGTGACAAAGCACGAAGCACCTCTGTCCTGCCCCCCAGCACCCTCACGCCTCCCGTGCGCGGTTCCCAGCAGCGTGGGGCTCTGCTGAACAGCCAGGCTCAGAACTCACAGGGGATATCTGGGAAGGTCAATCTCCACCTCCTGGTCCCTAGAGAGGCTGAACAAACCACGGTGACCGTTCACTCCTCCCACACCCCAGCTCTGCAGAGAACAGACTGGCTCCAACCTCCGCTTGCTGGGCACTGCTTTGATGTCATCTCTAAATATTCCCTGTGCAGGAACCCACCACTGGTGAGCAGTGAGAGAGCACACACCACACACCCGCGTGAAGAGGTGAAGGAGGCAAACGATGTGACTGACTGAAATGTTCAAATTCACACTTACCTACACCCCCAGCAGCGGGGCTCTCCCGTGCACTTCCAGCGTTTGCCTTAAACACCACTTTAAAAGACAGAAGCAATTTTACCACCGACAAGCTCCTGCCGTGCCAGGGGACAGCTTCTGAACTGTTGCCATCAGAGAATCCCTCCCCATCACACACAACCCTCAGGTGCTGGGCAAATTTAAGATATTCCCCATCTCCACCCCCACACTCACGCCCACAACTACCCCCAAAACCCCCACCCCCATGCCCACCACCACCTCCACAACCCTGACCACAACCTCCTTGCCCACACCCACCACCACGTACATACCCACACCCATATCCACAACCCGCACACCCACCACCACCTCCAGACTCACCCCCACACCTACAACCACCTCCACGCCCACCCCCATGCCCACCACCATGTCCAGGACCCCCTCCACACCCACCAGCACATCCAGGACCACCAGCACCCCCACTCCCACCACCAGCTCCACTATGACTTCTGTTATGGCCACCAGCACCTCTGGAACTTCCACAGCCACCAGCAACTCAATGGCGACCAACCCAACGAGCACCTCTGAGTCCTCCACACCCACCAGCACCTCCACAACCACCATCACCACCAGAACCTCTGAGTCCTCCACACCCACCAGCACCTCTGAGTCTTCCACACCCACCAGCACCTCCACAACCACCATGACCACCAGCACCTCTGAGTCCTCCACACCCACCACCACCTCTGAGTCTTCAACACCCACCACCACCTCCACAACCACCATGACCACCAGCACCTCTGAGTCCTCCACACCCACCAGCCCCACCACAACCACCATGACCAGCAGGACCTCTGAGTCTTCCACACCCACCAGCACCTCTGAGTCTTCCACACCCACCAGCACCTCTGAGTCTTCCACACCCACCAGCACCTCTGAGTCTTCCACTCCCACCAGCACCTCTGAGTCTTCCACTCCCACCAGCACCTCTGAGTCTTCCACTCCCACCAGCACCTCTGAGTCCTCCACTCCCACCAGCACCTCTGAGTCCTCCACTCCCACCAGCACCTCTGAGTCCTCCACTCCCACCAGCACCTCCACAACCACCATGACCCCCAGCACCTCTGAGTCCTCCACACCCACCAGCACCTCCACAACCACCATGACCACCAGCACCTCTGAGTCCTCCACACCCACCAGCACCTCCACAACCACCATGACCACCAGCACCTCTGAGTCCTCCACACCCACCAGCACCTCCACAACCACCATGACCACCAGCACCTCTGAGTCCTCCACACCCACCAGCACCTCCACAACCACCATGACCACCAGCACCTCTGAGTCCTCCACACCCACCAGCACCTCCACAACCACCATGACCACCAGCACCTCTGAGTCCTCCACACCCACCAGCACCTCCACAACCACCATGACCACCAGCACCTCTGAGTCCTCCACACCCACCAGCACCTCCACAACCACCATGACCACCAGCACCTCTGAGTCCTCCACACCCACCAGCACCTCCACAACCACCATGACCACCAGCACCTCTGAGTCCTCCACACCCACCAGCACCTCCACAACCACCATGACCACCAGCACCTCTGAGTCCTCCACACCCACCAGCACCTCCACAACCACCATGACCACCAGCACCTCTGAGTCCTCCACACCCACCAGCACCTCCACAACCACCATGACCACCAGCACCTCTGAGTCCTCCACACCCACCAGCACCTCCACAACCACCATGACCACCAGCACCTCTGAGTCCTCCACACCCACCAGCACCTCCACAACCACCATGACCACCAGCACCTCTGAGTCCTCCACACCCACCAGCACCTCCACAACCACCATGACCACCAGCACCTCTGAGTCCTCCACACCCACCAGCACCTCCACAACCACCATGACCACCAGCACCTCTGAGTCCTCCACACCCACCAGCACCTCCACAACCACCATGACCACCAGCACCTCTGAGTCCTCCACACCCACCAGCACCTCCACAACCACCATGACCACCAGCACCTCTGAGTCCTCCACACCCACCAGCACCTCCACAACCACCATGACCACCAGCACCTCTGAGTCCTCCACACCCACCAGCACCTCCACAACCACCATGACCACCAGCACCTCTGAGTCCTCCACACCCACCAGCACCTCCACAACCACCATGACCACCAGCACCTCTGAGTCCTCCACACCCACCAGCACCTCCACAACCACCATGACCACCAGCACCTCTGAGTCCTCCACACCCACCAGCACCTCCACAACCACCATGACCACCAGCACCTCTGAGTCCTCCACACCCACCAGCACCTCCACAACCACCATGACCACCAGCACCTCTGAGTCCTCCACACCCACCAGCACCTCCACAACCACCATGACCACCAGCACCTCTGAGTCCTCCACACCCACCAGCACCTCCACAACCACCATGACCACCAGCACCTCTGAGTCCTCCACACCCACCAGCACCTCCACAACCACCATGACCACCAGCACCTCTGAGTCCTCCACACCCACCAGCACCTCCACAACCACCATGACCACCAGCACCTCTGAGTCCTCCACACCCACCAGCACCTCCACAACCACCATGACCACCAGCACCTCTGAGTCCTCCACACCCACCAGCACCTCCACAACCACCATGACCACCAGCACCTCTGAGTCCTCCACACCCACCAGCACCTCCACAACCACCATGACCACCAGCACCTCTGAGTCCTCCACACCCACCAGCACCTCCACAACCACCATGACCACCAGCACCTCTGAGTCCTCCACACCCACCAGCACCTCCACAACCACCATGACCACCAGCACCTCTGAGTCCTCCACACCCACCAGCACCTCCACAACCACCATGACCACCAGCACCTCTGAGTCCTCCACACCCACCAGCACCTCCACAACCACCATGACCACCAGCACCTCTGAGTCCTCCACACCCACCAGCACCTCCACAACCACCATGACCACCAGCACCTCTGAGTCCTCCACACCCACCAGCACCTCCACAACCACCATGACCACCAGCACCTCTGAGTCCTCCACACCCACCAGCACCTCCACAACCACCATGACCACCAGCACCTCTGAGTCCTCCACACCCACCAGCACCTCCACAACCACCATGACCACCAGCACCTCTGAGTCCTCCACACCCACCAGCACCTCCACAACCACCATGACCACCAGCACCTCTGAGTCCTCCACACCCACCAGCACCTCCACAACCACCATGACCACCAGCACCTCTGAGTCCTCCACACCCACCAGCACCTCCACAACCACCATGACCACCAGCACCTCTGAGTCCTCCACACCCACCAGCACCTCCACAACCACCATGACCACCAGCACCTCTGAGTCCTCCACACCCACCAGCACCTCCACAACCACCATGACCACCAGCACCTCTGAGTCCTCCACACCCACCAGCACCTCCACAACCACCATGACCACCAGCACCTCTGAGTCCTCCACACCCACCAGCACCTCCACAACCACCATGACCACCAGCACCTCTGAGTCCTCCACACCCACCAGCACCTCCACAACCACCATGACCACCAGCACCTCTGAGTCCTCCACACCCACCAGCACCTCCACAACCACCATGACCACCAGCACCTCTGAGTCCTCCACACCCACCAGCACCTCCACAACCACCATGACCACCAGCACCTCTGAGTCCTCCACACCCACCAGCACCTCCACAACCACCATGACCACCAGCACCTCTGAGTCCTCCACACCCACCAGCACCTCCACAACCACCATGACCACCAGCACCTCTGAGTCCTCCACACCCACCAGCACCTCCACAACCACCATGACCACCAGCACCTCTGAGTCCTCCACACCCACCAGCACCTCCACAACCACCATGACCACCAGCACCTCTGAGTCCTCCACACCCACCAGCACCTCCACAACCACCATGACCACCAGCACCTCTGAGTCCTCCACACCCACCAGCACCTCCACAACCACCATCCCCACCAGCACCTCTGAGTCCTCCACAACCACCAGCACCTTGGGGTCCTCCACACCCACTGAAACCTCTACCACCACCATGACCACCAGCACATCCGAGTCCTCCAAACCCACCGAAACTTCCACAAGCACCATGACCACCAGTACCTCTGAGTCCTCCACACCCTCCGGCAACTTTGAGGCCTCCAAACCTACTGGCACCTCCACAACCACCATGACCACCAGCACCTCTGAATTCTCTACACCCACCAGGACCTCCACAACCATCATGACCACCAGCACGTCTGAGTTCTCCACACCCACCAGCACCTCTGAGTCTTCCACACCCACCAGCACCTCCACAACCACCATCCCCACCAGCATCTCTGAGTCCTCCACAACCACTGGCACCTTGGGGTCCTCTACAACCACTGAAACCTCTACCACCACCATGACCACCAGAACCTCTGAGTCCTCCACACCCACGGGCACCTCCACAACCACCATGACCACCAGCACCTCTGAGTCATCCACACCCACCGAAACCTCCACAACCACCATCACCACCAGCACCTCTGAGTCCTCCACACCCACCGGCACCTCTGAGTCCTCCACACCCACTGAAATCTCCACAACCACCATGACCACCAGCACCTCCGAGCCCTCCACACCCACCAGGACCTCCACAACCACCATGACCACCAGCACCTCTGAGTCCTCCACACTTACTGGCACCTCCATAACTGCCATCACGACCAGCAGCTCTGATTCCTCCACACTCACCAGCATCTCTGAGCCCTCCACACCCACCAGCACCTCTGAGTCCTCCACACCCACCAGCACCTCTGAGTCCTCCACACCCACTGAAACCTCCACAACCACCATGCCCACCAGCACCTCCGAGCCCTCCACACCCACTGGGACCTCCACAACCACCATGCCCACCAGCACCTCCGAGCCCTCCACACCCACTGGGACCTCCACAACCACCATGCCCACCAGCACCTCCGAGCCCTCCACACCCACTGGGACCTCCACAACCACCATGCCCACCAGCACCTCCGAGCCCTCCACACCCACTGGGACCTCCACAACCACCATGCCCACCAGCACCTCCGAGCCCTCCACACCCACTGGGACCTCCACAACCACCATGCCCACCAGCACCTCCGAGCCCTCCACACCCACTGGGACCTCCACAACCACCATGCCCACCAGCACCTCCGAGCCCTCCACACCCACTGGGACCTCCACAACCACCATGCCCACCAGCACCTCCGAGCCCTCCACACCCACTGGGACCTCCACAACCACCATGCCCACCAGCACCTCCGAGCCCTCCACACCCACTGGGACCTCCACAACCACCATGCCCACCAGCACCTCCGAGCCCTCCACACCCACTGGGACCTCCACAACCACCATGCCCACCAGCACCTCCGAGCCCTCCACACCCACTGGGACCTCCACAACCACCATGCCCACCAGCACCTCCGAGCCCTCCACACCCACTGGGACCTCCACAACCACCATGCCCACCAGCACCTCCGAGCCCTCCACACCCACTGGGACCTCCACAACCACCATGCCCACCAGCACCTCTGAGTCCTCCACACTTACTGGCACCTCCATAACTGCCATCACGACCAGCAGCTCTGATTCCTCCACACTCACCAGCATCTCTGAGCCCTCCACACCCAACAGCACCTCTTAGTCCTCTATACTTACTGACACCTCCACAACCACAATGACCACCAGCAGCTCTGAGTTCTCCACACCCACCGAAACCTCCACTGCCACCATCACCACCAGCACATCTGGGTCCTCAACACCCACCGGCACCTCTACAACCACCATGACCACCAGCACCTCTGAGTCTTCCACACCCACCGGCACCTCTACAACCCCCATGACCACCAGCACCTCTGAGTCTTCCACACCCACCGGCACCTCTGGGTCCTCCACACCCACCGGTACCTCCACAACCACCATGACCACCACCACCTCTGAGTCCTCCACACCCACCGGCACCTCTGTGTCCTCCACACCTACTGGCACCTCCACAACCACCATCACGACCAGCAGCTCTTATTCCTCCACACTCACCGGCACCTCTGAGTCCTCCACACCCACCGGCACCTCTACAACCACCATGACCACCAGCACCTCTGACTACTCCACACCCACCAGCACCTCTATGTCTTCCACACCCACCGGCACCTCTGAGTTGTCCACCCCCACCGAAGCCTCCACAACCACCATGACCACTAACACCTCTCAGTCCTCCACATCCACCGGCACCTCTGTGTCCTCCAAACCCACTGGCACCTCTACAAGCACCATGACCACCAGCACTTCTGAGTCCTCCACACCCCCTGGCACCTCCACAACCACCATGACCAGCGGGACCTCTGAGTCCTCCAAACCTACCAGCACATCCACAACCACCTTGACCCCCAGCATCTCTGAGTCCTCCACAACCACCTTGACCCCCAGCATCTCTGAGTCCTCCACAACCACCATTACCACCAGCACCTCTGAGTCCTCCACAACCACCACCATCTCTACAGCCAGCATGATCACCAGCATCTCCAAAGGCACCACTGGTGCCACAACCTCCCCCACCACTTTGACCACCTCCATCAACACTAACGGTTCTACCATCCTCAGCTCTTCACCCACAATATCCACCCCTCTTTCACGTCCCACCAGCACCTCTTCACCTTCCACCACCACCATCACAATCACTTCTCCTGGCCAGAATTCTTCCTCCACCAAGCCCACCTCAAGTTCCCTTCCCACCACCACCATGAGCACCATCATCACCACCTCTACTCTCCATTCCACCACCACCACTCCAGGTACAAGCCACCCTACCTTTTTCTCCACCACAATGGCCCCATGTCTTGTCCTTCCTTCCTCATCACTCCCTGGGTTTATTCTTTCCAGGCTTCTGCGCCAATGGAGGGATTTGGGTGGACGGTCACTGCGAGTGTCCCCTCGGTTTCACGGGTGACACGTGCGAGGACATCAGTAACACCATTGAGACGAAAGCTGGTAAGAAATCCTTCTTTTGGGGGTTCAGACCAAAATCTGCTGGGGAAGGAGCCACCAAAGGGTGCTTCTCCAGGGTGGAAAGGGTTAAGAAGAGCCACCACATCACAAAAAATGGTCTCCCTGACCATGGCACAGTCCCATAGTGCTCAAAAAACACGGGCAGAGGTGATGATCACAATGTGTACTGACCACCCTGGAGGAGGTAGGGCCAGAATCCACCCATGGGATGGGACAATTACATAGATCCAAGCTACAGCCAAGAGCTAGGACCAGAGATGGGTCCACAGGTTGCTCACCCACTCTCAAAGGGACTCAAATGAGCTCTGGTTGTGCTGGGTGGAGCTTTAACAGAGATCCTGGGCCAATGAGCAGAGGGTGGAGGTCCCAAGTGTCCAGGTAAGGTGGGTGAGGGCAATTAAGGCTCGTTAGTGCCCTGAGGAGCTCAAGTATTTGATGCCTAGCAGGTGAAGTCCAGGTGAAGCAGGTGCTCTGATGATGCCTAGATAAGGTCCTGGCTGTTTGCAATGGTTGGAGGAAACTTCTCTTGGGTCCTGGGCAGCAACCTCTTGGGCCGTGGGTCTTAAATGGAGATGTCAGGGCTCCTCCTGGCAGGAAGGGGTTGTCCTCCTCCTTCCTGTCTTCTCTGCATCTTGATCTTGACTTGCCTCTCCCCCTTCCCCAAAAGAGACCAACGGGACGGTGCAGGTGGTGCTGCGAGTGACCAACCGGGACTTCACTGAGGACCTCCAAAACCACAGCTCCTCTGCCTACTTGGAGTTCGTCAAGAACTTCACGGAGCAGGTGAAGGGGACACTGGGAAGGGGTTGACCCTACCTGGGGTGGGGTGGGGTGAGGTGGGATCATGATGGGCCTGGGGGTGCATCCAAACGCATCCCCATGGGTACTGCGAGTTGTGGTGGTGGTTGTGGGGTCTCTGCACTGGGAACACTGGGATGTGTTTGGTTGGGGGGACACCTAAAATGAGGGAGATCCAGGAGAAAGGGAAAGGAATGGAGACCCTGACATCCCCCCTGGAGACCTTTTCTCTTCCAGATGAACCTGGTCTACAGGAATGTTGATGGCTACCAAGGCATCCAGGTCCAGAATGTGACGTGAGTGACGGGCTCCTGGTCAACAGGGAGAAGGTTTTGGGGTGCCCCAACTGGGATAGTGGGGTGATCCCTTGGTGGAAAAAAAGGGTAATTTCAACGGGGTTGGTGGCTTTTCCCATCAGGCCTGGCAGCGTGGTGGTCGATCACGTGGTCATCTTCTCCCTGATAATGACCGCCCAAGCCCAGGAGAAGCTCAACAACATCACCAAGGACTTGATGGCAGAGATTCGGGTGGTGACAATGGAGAACTGCACGGATGGTACCTATGAACCTCCCCAGGAGGGGATGGGGAGGAGGAGGGACTGGAGGAGTTGGGTGACTCATGGGAGGAAGGGGGGGACATCTGGGACATCCCAAGGGGCCACCCCTGGGAGTGGATTGAGGGGGGCACATCCCCCATGACACCTCTCTTGCAGACGAGATGTGCTTCAACTCCTCCGACATCACGGTGAGGGACAACTCCCTCAACTTCAACCAAGAGGGTGAGTGAGTGGGGCTGCCCCATAGAAGGGGGACCGGACCAGGTTTGGGGTGGCCACCACCTCCTCCCCTCAACTGACCTCTCGTGCCTTCTCCAGGCTACTGCCGGGAAAACGTGCCCAAGGGCCTTGAGGACTATTTTTTTCCCAACCTGACGAGTTACGGTTTCTTCTGCATCTCCAACTGCACCCCGGACACCGCCAGCACCATCAACTGCAACAACGGGCGGTGCCAGCTCACCAGGAGCGGTCCACAGTGCTTGTAAGAGCTCCAGAAAGACCCTCACCTACCTCCAAAACCCACCCCAGGTGCACCCAACCCTTCTGGTGGACCTCCATGGCCACCTCCAAGCCCATCTCTCCATGGAAATGGGTCCAAAACCCCACAGGGTAGGAGCAGGGTTTTGCTCCACAGGCTTTCAACCCTCCTGGTGCCCAGTTCCAAGCCCCTGTCTCCATGGAAACAGGCCAAAACCCTACAGGGTTGGAGCAAGGTGTTGCTCCACAAGTGTCCAACCCTTCTGGTGGACCTCCATGGCCACTTCCAAGCTCCCGTATCCATGGAAACGGGTCCAAAACCCAGGGTTGGAGCAGGATCTTGCTCCAAACAAGGTTTGAATTTGCAGGAAATGGGTTGGGGGGTGGCTCTTTGGGGGGCTCCCTTTTTGTCTTCACCCCACCTCACCACCATCTTCTCCCCACAGCTGCCCCGAGCCCCACATGTACTGGTACCAAGGCAATCGCTGCGAGAGCCGAGTCAGCAAGTTGGCTGTGGGGCTGGGCTCGGCGGTGGCCATCCTGGCCGTGATGGTGGCCATCCTGGCCGTCCTCCTCTTCCGGGCCCGTAGCACCCAATTGTCCTACAGGTGATGGGGGAGACGT